CTTGACGGCGTTGTTCGTCATCAACACCGACCATCGCGCATCGGTTTTCTCTGCCCTCTGGGCGGCGCGGGTCTGGGCGTCGGCGATGCAGTGCTCGATGGACTCTTGCAGACGCGCAGTAGTCGGCCAGGCGTCCTTCGCCGACTTGGATCGCTTGTTCCCGTCTGGGCGCCCATCGGACCCGCCCAACGTCATCGTGTACGGCTTGTACGTCTCCTTGGGCTTGGCGATGGTGCACCGGACTTCCGCCCAATTCTCGATACAGAAGAACACGTGGAGGCACTTGAAATCTTGGTCAGTGCTGCTGTCCTGGCGATACATGGCAAACATCCGCACCATCTGCGCCGAGGAACAACAGTGTGCGGCGCACCAGGGTGAAAGAAGGAGCGAGAGACCGGCGTGTCGTACCTGACCCTGATGTTGGTGCCGCTCTCCGGGCGAGCCGCGATCTTCCCGATGATCCCATGCCATTTATTGCACGGCGGCTGGATGAGCGCCCAATGATTTGCCATGGCCTTCGAGCCGCGCTGACGCCCTTGAAGTAGGGGTCGACGAGCTTGCGCTCGTCGAACTCGGACTTGATGCGCTCCCAATACGTGTCGACATTCTGGTTCATGCCGGTGATCGGGTCGTGGAAGACGATTTTTGACGCTTCGGCGAGGCACTCGCTCTCTTTGGACGCCCACTTGACGCGCGGCTCGCCGGTCCTGGCCGCCCGCTTCTTCTTTTTCCCTTTCCTCACCGAAGCAGGCGTCGGCTCCTCCTCCTCCTCCTTTGTCTCCTCCTCACCGTAGTCGAGCTCACCCTTCATGTCGCCGTTGAGGTCCATTGTATCATCTTGGGCAGTGACCTGGGGGAGGCGGCGGCCGAGCCGGTCGTGATGATGTCGTCCATGTCGGCCTCCGTCGCATCGGTGTCGGTGAGATGCGACGAGGAGGCTTGTGAGAAGAGCAGCGTGCCATGGTGTAGAGGTGGCATCGGGGAGGATGCGCAAGCCGGCGGCGAGTAGGTGTACGGGGTATACTGGACGCCGGCGAACACGGGCGAGGGCGTGCGCTGAGCCGGGTGACCATGTGGAAAGGTGATGTTGGGGTTGAACCAGCCGTGTGCCTCGCCGTCGGCGTAGCCATGCGAGGGCGTGCAACCCCAGGGGTGTGGCGACGACGAGAAGCCGGCCGGAGACCCGACGCTCTGTTGGCTCCAGGACGCGTAAGGGCCGTGGCCGCCGGGTGGATTCATCATCCCGCGCGAAACGCCTCGGCTTGTTAGGCCGCGCGATCTGCCTGCTCCGCCACGGCCGCAGACGTCACCGCCCTGTCCCGGGCCTTCTTGGCGTTGGACCCGTTCCGCCGGACGGTGGTGACAACCTCCCGGTGCTGAACTTCCGCCTTCCAGTCGGTGTTAGACATGCCCGGGGGCTTGGATGAAGGCGCCATCTGCTTCCTCTGCTTCGGCTGGGTGGTGGCGGTGGCGTTGGCATCGGTAGCGGCGCGGGGGGCCATGTACTTCTTCGGCGGCATGGCGGCCGGATGGAGTGTAG